AGTTTTTTTAAGAAAATTTGATTTACCATCAGTTCCATTAAATATAAAGGATATTTTATGCCAGAAATGTCTGTTTGTAATCATTATAATGATTTTACGTTAAGAGAATACTGCACAGCATTTCCAGCCTTTCTAAAGCGTTTGGGCGCTTGTGGAGTGTAGTCACCCAAGGTATAGTCACCAAAGGTGAAGTAGTCATATTTTTTCTTGTGAAATGTGTGAAATGTGATTTACTGTCTGTTCCATTACATATTAACAATGTTTTATTTAATATTTTCTCCGAGGCATACTTTGTTGGCAAAGGATGCTACCAATACAACAGCATGAGTCACAGTGGAAAGCACGCACCACGATGACCTTATAGAGTCAGTCAGGTACAGCGTTAAGGCCCGTCCTTGCTTGCGTCACATGCGTGGCTGAACGTGAAACTTGAATCATTCGCATGTCTCACAATGTCAAACCTACCTACCAAGTTTCATTCCTGTCGGTTGATTCCTTCTGGGTGCAACTATTTTTTTCATGATGAGTCTATATTCTTTTTTATAACAATAATTGTGACAACAGGGTTTAATGTTCAAGCTATACCCATGCAGTCAAACGATTTTTCTGAGTGTAAATTGAGATACTAAAATCAGAAATATAGCCGCAAACAGCAATCTATGGCAACCAAGCACCAAGAAGACAGTGAGAATTTATGTGGTGGCCTCTGGTCGTAGAAGGCAGCAGATGTTCAGATTTTTAAGAAAGATGTCATTTTCTTATGATTAAGACTATTAGGTGATACATCTGCTACAATCTACACAACTCTATTTAACATCCATGACAGGGATTCGAACCCACAACCTTAGAGTTCAAAGGCAGATGCTCTCATGGTGAGCCACAAGACATCAGTGGCACAGATGCAATTTTTGAGACAATTTTTTGAAAGGAAGCAAAAAGGAACCACACACTATTTTAGGATAAAGTAGCAGCATAGACAAATTTCATGTCTCTGGTCATACATGGCAGCAAATCATTGGATTTTTAAGAAAGACCCTTTCTTAAGATTATTAAGTGTGTCCACAACAATTGATACAGCACCATTCTATATCTATGACAGTATATCAAACCCATGACCTCAATCTTTAAAGGCAGATGTTTTCATGGTGAGCTACAAGAGGTCCATAGCACACCTGTTTTTTTGAGACAATTTATTGGTGCAGAGCAATAAGGAACTAAGCACCATTTTGGGGATTAGTTCTCACCTTGCAATTACTGTGACTATTGAGTAGTACTGTGACTATAATATACCCTCAGTTTGTCATTTTGTATATTTGTGTCAAATTTGGTTAAAATCAGACAAATATTGATGTATTTTTAGCCTTTTATAGCAGAATAAGCCAGGTCACACCAATGTATTCAAATCTTGCAGCCACACTGTGCTTAAAAGTCATGATGTTTTAATAATTAAGATTGCTTTAAGAAAAAAATTAGATTTAAACTCAAGAATTAGTAGGAAAATGTCCATATTTCGTCTTTTTTTAACTGTGCAAATACTATACATTAAGACTTGTATTTGCACAATTGGCTGACTCAGTGGAATGCATAACATTCAGAAATGCTTTGTCAAAGGACAACTACAGTAAAGCTTTCCAATGATTGTATTTTCATTCAGACTGGCGACCTGTCCAGGGTGTGTCCTGCCTTCCGCCTGATGGCAGCTGGGATGGGCTCCTGCATCCCCCGCGATCCAGAAGGAGAAGCGGCTTAGAGGATGTGTGTGTGTGTGTGTGTGTGTGTGTGTGTGCGTATTTTTATTCATTCATTTAACATTGACAGTTGCAGTTACTGATTTGGCGCCATCTAGTGGCTGGAGAAAAATACAACACCTCTTGCTTTGATCAAAATTTGCATAAATCAAATTACAGGATTTCCTGTAAAGTTGAGCAACTTGGTTGTTTTGAGACGAAGTTTGAGATGATGCAGTGCACATCGATCAAGCAGTATAGAAAAAACTTTCAAACTGATGATTTACAGAAAAACAACAGATTTTTTAAAAGACTTGTATTTGCAAAATTGTCAGGCGCGGTGGAAAGCATAAAATACAGAAATGGTCTTGACCTAAAGACATACAATAAAGCTTTCCACTAATTGTATATTTTTTTATTAATTAGTTCATAATAACATTGACATTGACAATGTTAATAGTAACATTGACATTTGCAGTTACTGATTTGGCTCCCTCTGGTGGCCAGAAAAATATAAAACACCTCTTGCTCTAATTAAAATTTGATGAAATCAAATTATATGATTTCCTGTACAGTTAAGCAACGTACACATATTTGCAAAGTGTTAATTCTCATTAAGATGCATAATTTGAAACAATAGTCATGTCTTTATTTTAATCTTAGACAAGAATAATTACATTTTAGATTGTTGGCAGTACATTGAGCATTGTAAGAGCCAACTTAAGCCAATTCAAGCCAAATGTCATACGTTTCCTCAGCTGATTATTTTCAATGTATATATCAATTTTGGTCACAAACTGAGCATAAGTGACAGACTTGTGGTCCTTTGTTTCCGAATAGGCTGGACCGAACTGACTGATCCATAACTTGCAATAAAATAAGGCTTAAAATGCAATTTTTTTTAATAAGTATTGATCTTGAGACTTTGTTGGTTGTTTAGAGACCAAGTTTGAGATGTTGCAAAAACATTACAGCAAGCAGTATGAAAACATCAGTTTTCAAACTCTGATGATTTACAGAAAAACAATAGAGTTTTTTTAAGGACTTCTATTTGCAAAATTGTCAGGCACGGTGGAAAGCATAAAATATAGGAATGGTCTTGACCTAAAGACATACAGTAAAGCTTTCCACTAATTGTATATTTTGTATTAATTAGTTCAACATTGACATTTGCAGTTACTGATTTGGCTCCCTCTGGTGGCCAGAGAAATATAAAACACCTCTTGCTCTAATTAAAATTTGTTGAAATCAAATTATGTGATTTCCTGTACAGTTAAGCAACCTACACATATTTGCAAAGTGTTAATTCTCATTAAGATGCATAATTTGAAACAATAGTCATGTCTTTATTTTAATCTTAGACAGGAATAATTACATTTTAGATTGTTGGTAGCACATTGAGCACTGTAAGAGCCAACTTAAGCCAATTCAAGCCAAATGTCATACGTTTCCTCAACTGATTATAATCAATATACAAATCAATTTTGGTCACAATCAGAGCATAAGTGACAGACTTGTGGTCCCTTGTTTCCGAATAGGCTGGACCGCACTGATTGATCCATAAGTATGTTTGAAGCCATAATTTGCATTTGATGCTGAAGCTCCCTCTGCTGGACAGAAAAGATATTACCATGACTGAATATGTTTCCAAATTTGGTTGAAGTCAAATTTCCACATTTCCTGTGCAATTTTGGAACATACACATAATTGCAATGTTTTAGATGTTAATGAGATGTGTAATCTGAAACCATTATCTTTTCATTATTTCAATCATAGAGGAATATAATAACATTTTAATAATTACGCATTAGATTAAGTATTGTAGGGGCTTATGACAATCAATTTAAACTTTGCATGTTTCCTCAGAAAATAGTAATGTATATGTTTACCAAGATTTATTACAATCACCTAAAAACTAAAGAATCTATAGCCCACTAAGTCAGAAAAGGCCAGGCCAAACAGATAAATTGGTGTGTCATGTCCATTCTTTGCAATAAAATCAAGGTTTTTTGATAATTATTTACCTACAGGCTCCACAGCTTGTTTTAAGACCATTAGAACATTAGAACATTAATACAATTTTCTTAAAATTCACAGACTAGTTCGAAAAGCTCTATTTTCAAGCATTAATCAAAGAAAAACTTCAAAGAATTTTAAAAAACTAGTATTTGATAAAATGTCTTTCTCAGTGTAAGCAATGATAAGAATTGATTTATTTTGATCTATGATAAAATTTATAGGACTTATTTTTGTTTATGCTCTTTAGCGCCACCTCATGGCCAATTGAGGTCTATTAGAGATTGCCTATGTGGACACATGATATAATTTTTATGATTGGCCAATGCTAAGCCCTCCAAATGCCTGTTGAAAGCTTATTGGCCAATGGCGGTCATATTTGTCCAGTGATTTAGTTGTCCTTAATAGATCACGTACATATTAGGCCTTGGATGCAACATGCAAAGTTTCAGCTCAATTGGCCCACCAGTTGCTGAGAAACAGATTTTTGGTTGTTATAGCACCCCCTATTGAGTAATCAGTATCAAACTTGGTTTGAATCATATAGGGTACAGGACTGATAAGTTTGATGAGAATTGGCCAAAGGAATCTCTATCTGTAGCCATTTATGTGACACAGGATAAAATTACTTTGTTGTTACATAAATTAAGAGACAAATATTCTTTTAACCTTAAATTGATTGTAACTGAACCAAATAACAATTGTAGTGTTACTGGAAGATTTTAATGATCAGCTATATTTTATAGAGAAGTTCAATACGAGTGAAGGATGGCCCAAAATCTTCACACAAAATATATAGATACATTGTTTTTGTGATAATTTATTTTGAGTTAAAGAACAGATCCCTTCACTTTTTGCCAAAAAACAAGAACAGTAACCTTATTGCTTTTAAAAATATAATGGAACATAAATTGAACTAAATTCATGGAGTGCCATATATGATAATAAAAAAAGAAACAATAAAAAAAGATCCATGACTTTAAGATTGTATGAGCCCTGTACATTTTTGAGTATTTTTACTTTTACAGTTTCATTTTTTCATTTATGAATCCTTTTACAAAGGATTCAGGCCCCTTTTTACATGAGGGACCTGAACCCTGATTTATGGGCCTAGATTTATTCTTTGTGACAATATCTGTTGCAAAAAGCACCACATCAATAAAATGCAATTGAGTTATGTACACCAGTGGGCAATACACAAATTAAAACAATGCAGCAACTTAAATGTTAACAGATTCAGACACTTAAGGCCAGAGGTAGGCTACTTTCTAGTAGGATTTTATTCTGAGAGGCTTAGCTTTAGAAATACATCTGTTTATTTTCAAAAGCAACAACAACAGAGTTTTGTCTTCATGCAGGTTTGGAGATTAAACAGCACACAAATGACTCTGCCCTTTCACTACCAAGCTAGAATGCAAAACCACAACCTACCTTCAAAGAAAAAACAACAATAATGATAATAAACAAGCAATTTATGCTGATCAGTTTAAACAATGCTAGTTCATTGCACTTTCTGTTTTTTCTTCATCTTTTTGGCTGGTTTTCTCAAGGAGAAGTCTTTTAAAACCACCTTCTCCATATTGATTCTCACTCTTTTCCTTGTAGGGGACAGAAGAGCCTCCTTACCAGCTGCTGGAAAATATAAAAACATTCATAAAATGTAGTCTACTAAAAAGTGCCTTAAGTAATTGTTTCGATCAACCATAACGACTGACAAAATGCAACCAAAGTGACAAAATGCTATCTGTAAATCATTAAATGTTCTGCTAAACTTACACAGCACGCTTGCTGGCTGGGTGATTTGCTCTCCTGAGAGTTCTTTCCCTGTTTTGGGTCTCCATACAGATAGGCAGGTGAGACGAGCAATGGTGTTCACCTGGCTCAGTAGACATACCACCTCCGGGTTCTGGGGGCATTACGAAGACATGTATTGCACAAAAATAAATACATGTATTTAGTGGTCAACCAACACTTCAACGGATTAACATAATGGGCTAATGTTTGGATTTTTTAAAATTGTATAAATGGTATAATTCTGACTACTGTGTTTACTGATGTAATAAAACAGAATGATTAACTTCTCATAGTTATGAAATGAATGGGAGTCAGTCTGGCCTGCAGGAAGGCCAGTCTAGCACCTGCTCTCTCTAAATATACAGCAGTGCTGTTGTAACACATGCAGAACCTTCCACATGCCAGACTTCATCTAGAAAGCAGCATGTTGCTCCAAAATGTGCTCAGTGTTAACAGTGCCTTCTCAGATGTACAAGTTACCCACTAATACAACGCCATTCCATATCTTACGGAGCTTACATCTATTCCATGCTATACACATTTAGAAATGGTTAATCAGGAAAATAAACACGGACAATTTACATGGTTTCAAAGACTCTAATTTTAACTCCCCACATTATCACTTAACTGCTGCAGACAAGGACAAACACATTGTTATCAGAGTGTAGGTAGGGGGGTGGGTAGGTAGGTAGGTGGGTGGGTAGGTGGGTAGATAAAAAATACTGATTAAATGTCCTACTCTGTGGATGCTTATGGGTCCAAAACTATTTATGATTTATGTGTAGGCTAACATCTGTGGGGCAAAGCTGTAAAATGTACCTCCAAATTGAACTTCCACAGCTTGATGAACCCATCATTAGATGCTGTGACCAGCACACACAACTCATCAATCATAAAGCTCTCCATTGCTTTTACTCTACAAAGAAAACATAAATATGATATTCAATAATCAATTCACAATTCACTGCAACAACTGGTACATAATACATTAGCAACATTATTTATAAAGTTATATAAACAGTATCTGAAAGTGTGTGGAATATGCACAGTCATATGTAAAAGTTTGAGTAGCCCTGGTCAAATCCTCTAAATAAAACACAATTAAGCACTTTTATAATTACTGTTTTATTTTTTCCCCCATATTCAAAACTTAATATATAGAAATTGTGCAGTAAAATTAGCAGAAAAGGCCATATTTAAGTTTGTTCACTGTAGAGGATGTGTTAACTTATTCCCACTTAAAAATTCAACTAAACATATAATTTGACCAGAAGTGTCAAGCATACAACTGTATTAACCAACCTACAGGAGAATGAAATAATCCCCTAAGGGTCAAGCCTTCAGGCTTGTAACATTCTATGGCTCCCATGCACTTGCCACTTATCGAGAACACCGTGAAGGATGACTTATTTTTATAACTGACGTGTTGAGCTTTCCAACCTAATAGTCTATCCTAACCTACTGCAAAGGCTGGTTGGGTTAGTAGTGGGGTAGTCCTGTTGCCTCAGCTCCAGCTCTCTCTCTTAGCAGTGAGCACCACTTCTTCTGCCTTGCTGCCCTACTTTTTATCTGTCTGTCTGCTACCTGTTTTAGTGTTAACCAGTCCCTGATGATATAAAGCCAGACATACACTGTGTGATATTAGAAATCTTGTTCTCACTGCATATTTGAATCCCCCATTATGTACAACCAAAGGCTACAACTTGCGCGCTCACACCGTGCGAAAAGGTTTCATCCAACTGACACGGGGGCATTTACTGCACATGAAACACAACCCCTATGGACAAAAAAAGCTGTTTCATTCAAATCAAACTTGTCCCACGCTGTGCATGAAACCAAAACCTCAAAATTATGTACATGGGTAGTACAATATGTCATTCTCTGGCCTATTATACAAAGACAATTTAAGGAATTACCCTATTAAAAGTTCATACCTCGCAGTTCAATTGAAACAGAGAAAAGCTGGCCTATACGGATTTTGGTAACACAAATGTTTTTGTTAACCCTAACGTGTTCACCTGCGTAGGGCAGCGGTTGTGATTATGTGTGGGTGGTTGGCGTGCTTTTTCAAGAAATTGGCGAGATCTGCTCAAACTGCAAAATTACCTCCCAAAATATCTAACATCAGAAATCCTTTCAATCGTCCAACTTGTCAAATGAAGCTGGTTTGGGCAGTTAATCAGACATCACTTCCCCCTCACACTGCTCACAGTGCACATCAAATGACAAATGTGTATCTTCTGTGCCAGCTGAAGACTATCCCCGAGAGCCCTAACTAGTTCCAATTCGTCAAGGAGTACATTGTGCGATCTACGGTATCAAAGACAGTACTAAGGTCTAGTAATATCAGCACTGATATTTTGTCTGGGTTGAGACAGCTTCCTTTAGTACCTTTATGAAGACAGTATTTGTGCTACTCTGCCTAGACTAAAGAGTCCAAACAGCTGTTGGAGTTTATGAACATGCTAATTTGACAGAAAACTACTTTCTCCATAATTCTGCCTACAAGACTGTATAGGTCTAGTTATTCTGCCTATAAGACTGTGTATGCGTCTGTTTTAACAGAAACGTACAGGTTGTCAAATCAATGACTTGGTACTAATACCTAATATGAGTGAGTTATTTACTATTCGTAGATGTTCTGATTTTCCTTTAAGCAGCTCAATTCTTTCTAAAAACACTAACCCCCCTGAATTCATCCTTTAAAAAGCTGGTGGGCAAAGTTTCTATACAGCAAGTTGATGGTATGAGATAGGAGACTGTTTCTTTAAGGGTAATGTAGTCAAGAGGATCAAAAGTATAAAATATAGCTGCATGCGGTAATCTGTGGGGTCCAAGCTGTCTTTGGGGTCCAAGATCCAAGATTGCTATTACAGCTATGACCTCACTAGGATATATGCCTGTGAAGTTTTGTAGATAGATTTTTTTTTTGTGGTGACAAGCCAAATCTTCTGAAGTCATATTTAAATCACAACTCTATGCAGGCTATGTTTTTTGGATATTGGATAATATTTTGTTGCGTAACAGTTTCTTGCACGTTACAGTGCCTCTAGCGATGCAGCTGCAGCTGAAACAAAATGTGCAAATTGCCTATGAATGCAGTCTCCAATCACTGGTTAGGGTTTCTCTAACAACGTAATATAACTTCTTTAGCGCTAGATAGAACAATCATTGTTTATATATGAAATGCAGTTGGCACAGGTTGTAGAATACAACAACAACGCAAATAAAGTGAAGTGGAACACAGGACTGGTGTTCTCAAAATTTACGAGAAAAAGAAGGTTATTTCTTGTCTTTTTGTCATGAGGCCATGCAGTTGGAGAGGCCGCTCACACTAGAGGATAAGCCAAACAGAGAGTATAACACAGATCGAGTTCGGGCTACAAATAAGAACCCAAACTCCCATATCTCGTCAGAGATCACATAACACAAACAAAGCTAAATATACTAGACTGAAGCTGTTTGTGCTTTTATGCATAGTGAAAGCGCAAACTGGGGATTAATGTAGGGTTGAGAAACGCAGATATCACAGCAAGAGCTGGAGAAATATTTCACTGCAAACTGGCAGCTGAGTTGAAATTGTAAAGAGAGTGCCTTGACCTCTGCATCCATATGTTATGCACATAACAGCTCTTTTTTGCGTGTGTTTTACATGTAGCTCCTCTAATTCCCTGCTCCACTGTCCAGGCAGTGTGCAGGCACATGTCATTGCCTTGTTCCCTCCACTCTTCTAGCTCTCTGATTGGCTGCTGTTTGAATCACTCATTGAATATGTCTCTGGCCTTCTCACACTTCAGGACCTGTGAACATTTTGAATACTCTATTACCAGGGTCTGAAATTAACACTCACTTAAGCAACTGCATGATGTTTTTCTGGACAGCACCAAGGTAAGCTAAGGGCTAAGGTTTGAAATACTGCAGCTGTGTATTTGCAAGGCTCCTGCTGCAGTCTTGGCAACCATCTGTCCTAAGGGTCTCCCAGACAGTCCACATTTTTGTTCCAACTTACAATGCACAGGGATAAAACAAAGACGTGAGACCATCTGGGAAACCCTGAGGATTGGCTTGAGAACCACAAGCATAGAAGGCAATACAAAATCTGCTTCTGGATGGTTTCAGGAAGATAAAGTTAAAAAAAGATAAAGAGAAGCCTAAGATCAGTATGTGCAAAGCCAAACGTAAGCTGGAGTGGAGTAAAGCATGCAGACACTGGACTCTGGAGCAGTGAAAACGAGTTCTCTGGAGTGATGAATCATGCTTCACTATCTTGCAGTTGGAGTGACTAATCTAGATTTGACAGATGCCAGGAGAACGCTACCTACTGGCATGCAGAGTGCCAAAAGCAGAGTTTGGTGAAGGAGATATAATGATCTGGGGCTGTTTTTTTTTGGGTTGGGCTAGGCCCCTTAGTTCCAGTGAGGGGTGATAATGCTACATCATACGAATACATTTTAGACAACTATATGCTTCTAACTTTGTGGCAACAGTTTAGGGAAGGCCCTGTTTCATGTTACAACATTAATGTCAAAGCGAGGTCCATAAAGACACTTGTGGCCTGTAGAGAGCCCTGACCTCAACCCCATTAAACACCTTTAGTATGAAATGAAATGCTGACTGCAAGCCAGGCATTCTTGTCCAACATCAGTGTCTGACCTCACAAATGAATGGGAAAAATGCCCACATTGACCTAATGGGAAAAATTCCCACAAACACACTGCAAAATCTTGTAAAGATTTGTAGAAAATCTTCCTAGTAGAGAGGAAGTTATAACCGTTAAGAAGAAACCAATTCCATATTAATGCCCATTGTTTTGGAATGGGATCTCCAACGAGCTCATGCAGGTGTGATGGTCGTTTCCACATGCTTTTGGCCTTATTGTGTAAGTTGCATGAAAGATACAGTATTTCCTGTTTACTCTTAAGCAGTCTGTTTATTTTGTTAGGTTTATTTTCAGATATTTTTGGAACTGGGACTACAATGTTGCCCATACATAGGTTATAGTATAGCCAAGTATATTTCAACCCATTTAAAATGTTTAGCATTTTTATGAACCCGTTTCAAAAAAACAAAGTGCTCTGAATTTCACTGCTAAATGAATGCAGCTCAGGTCGGGTTAAAGTTAACTAGTTACTACATGTAACAACCCAACCCGTCCTGGCTAGAATTTACATAATTTTTGCGTCTCAAACCGGAATTGAAAATGTCAGATTCAGTGCGTTTTTTGCTGTTCACAGTGCCACATAGATGACATATCTGTGTCACATATGAGGAAAAAGATCGGATTTGAACAACTTTTACCTGCTGTGTAAACATAGCCCAAGTCTCTCAAATAGTCTCCCCACAGTACCCCGTTAGAAGCCTAGACCTAGATTTCTATAAAGGCCGCAACAATGTCTCCAGCAAAAAGTAAATAAAACTGAGCTAAATAAAGTTTAAGTCTTACAAGTCCCAGACTATAATGGCTACAGTGTACTATGTACTGTACACTATTGTATACTGGTAGTTAGTGTGTGTAGAGGACTAGCACAAAATTTTCTTACTTGACATACTACTAACATTTGTGAATTAATAAATATATTTTGTTAATTTAAAACAGATCCTGCCAGTGTGTGTACCTTTTTTTTACAGAGCAAAACTAAAATATTTGAGAATAACAATATTAACCCACCTGTTCTCATGAGCTCTGAACTCACAAATGCACTTTTCAGAGATCAGATCATATACCTTCACATATTCGTCATCTCCTGCCACAGCCAGCAGTGTATTCTGAAAAAGATTTAAAACAAAAAGCTAGATCAGGGGTCAGGTTTTTATTCCAATTCATACTACTAAAAACTAATATTTTAAAGAGACTGACTAAACTACAAAAACTACAAAATCTCACGTAAGACCTGAAGAATACTTTGCTTTACATGAAGCTACCTCCTATTCTACACTTATGTATAGAGCCCTCGTTTCAATGGCCGACAAAATGGCATAGAAACGGTTTAGGCCTGTTTCATACATACTACCTCTGCCCGTTGTGGCATGAACAACATAGAACAGTTTGCTTTTCATTTCAGCGCCCATATTAACAGGTTATAGGCACACATCATGGCCATTATCAAACGAAATATCTATTAAGCATTTTGTGCTTCATAGACATTCCACAGTAAATCTACAGACTTAAAACGATCACGGGTGCAAACACATACAACATGCTCTTCTATGAACATTCTTTTAATTCAGCAAAGTAACTGATTTAACTATTTATCAGTTTGGAAAAAGGACATCTGTACAACTGGCTTACAAGCAGTTAAAATTCAGTGCGGTCCTGCCGCACAGATGCTCAGCAGCACAAATGCTGTATGTGCAATGATCAATGTGTACAAGCTGTAGCAGTCACACCGCTTACGTTACATAGAGGTAGTATATGGAAAGATGCTTTATAATGACGCTCCACGCATTAACCAGAAAGCAGGTTACAAACGCACCTTGTTTGAAATTCTCTCTTAGTGCAACCAATCCAGCTATTAATCACAAATATCCTCAGCCATTTGCCCTAATTACTATCTACAGGGTTATATTCAGACCTCCTATCAAATTTTATATTTTGGTCCTTTAAATTGGTGCACTACTGGTATTAGTTATTCGAGCACTAATATCTGCCTCTCAGGCAAATATCTGTTCCCGCATTAGTATCAGAAGTTATTGAATAAGGTTGAAAATAGATATCCAGCATTGGCAATATTTTTTTATTATCACTAGGACAAATTAATGTAGTAAAGATGAGTGTTCTCCCTAAATTTATGTATCTTTTAGAATGCCAGCCCTTAAATGATACTCAAAACTCATTTTAAACTACATTTTGAACTACATATGGCCATTATCTTTTCCTATGGGGTAGGAAAAACCCAAGAATCCTGTCAAGCTACAAGCATATTCTAAAGGTGGACTGCAACCACCTAATTTTTGGGCCTACTATCTAGATGCACAATTTCAATCTACATAGATATGGCTTCACCCAAAAATTACTGATGGTCTCTAATGGAGCAGTATGAGACGAAGCACATCCCATCACAGGTTATACTTTTTCTCTGATCAATAGCTACATTACTTAAACTAACTAGAAACCCTCAACTTAACACATTCTACACCTGGGAACAAATCCATCTACTTAATGGCCACAAATCTACTCTTTTTAAGACAACTCACTAGTTGTCTTTCTCAGTAGTTTCTGAAAGTTAACTTTCCTCCATTTTAGAGATTAAACATAGAAACAACAGCATTATGAAAGTACATGGTACATATATGTCACTGTATTACGGCCAATCAAAATCTGCCAAGCTTCATGTTATTTTCTAAACCCTTCAATCACTGCTTAGCAACCGCTGCTATCTGCAATTGCTTCAGCCCGTTATCAGCGGCCATCATATTTGTGACTAGCACTAGGACACAGAGTTCCTCAGAAATACCTTAAGAGTTTTATGAGGTTCAATGTGGAAAAAGCGATGGAACTACACAGTAAGCAGTTCTTCAGAACAGCTGTGGTTCAGCCCTAGACTTAAATGCCTGCTCTGGTCATGTCTGCATGAGACACTATGCTGCCCTGAGGAATGATACCAGAGTAACTTTGAGGTACTGAATTTTCAGGTATGCAGCACACAGCATGTAGGTTAATTAAGCAACAGAACACGAGAGGGAGTGTGTTATCGCAAAATAACATCACGGCTGTGATTTGGTCGCAGGCACGAGCCGAAGGCAATAACACACGACCTTGAGTGTTCTACTGCTTTTATGCAACAGTTAAATAAAAAGTTGGGCCGTGAACGTGGCATTTAATATGTTTTAATGTTAGCAATTCCTTCTGCCAAAATATAGTTCCTTAACAAGCAGCTCGTTGCTACGTCAGAGAAACGAGCTCCGCTCACTCGCTGCAGAGTCAGCAGTTCATTCTCCAGCTCCTTACACAGACCAACTGACAGTTTCGGAATTTAGTGCAGTCTCATCTTCACATATCTGAGGTCAGAGTCTGACCAAATCAGCTGTAGGTCAAACGTAATCTTAAGTGTCCATTTTCTGTTTGTGCGCAACGTAAGAAGTAAAAACGTTCAAATGGCTTGAGCGTCTCCTACAGCTGTCAAAAGTCGTTGCTTAGCAATGGCGTCTCAGCGGAGAGATAGAGTGTTTGTGAAAAAACGTGACATTATGGCGAAATAACATCACGGTGAGAACGCTTCTCAACCAATCAGCTTGTGTGGCCAGAACTAACTGCTGTATATCATATAACATTGCTATGGCAAAATGTAAGGGTTTATGAGCATAGTTTACCTATCATGCTTGTAAAATGCAAAGATTATTCATTTTTTATTTGGAGCGCTCAAAACGTTGCTAGATAAATCAGCATGCTTTAGTTTAGTTCCAGTAGCTGCTCAGTTTAGGCTTCAGGCTCCATAGTAGGCTACATTAGTGATTAGATGAGAAATTAAAGCTGTATTTTGTTACCTACATATACATACTACAACTGGCATGAGAAAGTTCACTTTTAACTAGCATACTGATAGTACAGTATCATGTAGATAACATTTTTAAAAAATCAGCATTTATCAGCACTGATCAGCAACATTAGACTGTTGTCTCATTAACTGTATAAGTAGCTGTCTTTCCCGTTAGCCGCGGTTTGGTAGCCTTTTATAACCTATGTTTGTAAGTGTGCTTTTTCATTAAGCAGTGAGGACAGATAGGCAAAAGAGACAAGCAGAGAGAGAGTTAAATGAAATAAAATCAATTTGAAACTATCACTTGTAGTGCAGGTTTCAATATATTTTCAGCTGAAAATAAACATATAAATAAATAAATTATTAATAAAATATATTTAAACAAGGTGGGAGTCAAATGAGTTTACAGATAGCAGTTCATGGAGGAAAGAAGTGATTGGGTAGGAACAAATGAAAGGAAAAGATACATAATAGTCATGCATGAGTAAAAAGGAGCAATGATTTTGTTAAAACAAAAAAAATAAAGGAGAAACTCAGTGTTGGTGTAATGCTCATATTTGACAGTTATTTTATTCACTATGAGATGCAGATCACATTTCTGCAAAATTAACCTTAATAAAATTTTGATCCTAGATACAGCCCTGGAAGTAATTAACACAAACATTAATCTTGATCCCAGGATTTGGTTGTTAGGTGATGTGAGATTATTACGTGTTTCGCATTTGAAGAAGTATTTTGTATTGCTAGCTGGTACAGCTGCCAAGAAATGTATATTAGTGAGTTGGAAATCTGAATACTTACCTCCCATTAGGCAGTGGCTAAATGAGCTTGTGTCCTGCAGCACTCCTGAGAAAATCCTATATAGTGCTATGGGGAAGGCCAAAGTATAGGGGGCTTTTATGGATTTCTTAAATATAATACCTTAAAATAATCTTTTCCACCTAATTTATTTATGTCTTTTGGTGTGAGTGTTTACATTTACATTATATGTGAAAAATCACAATGTACAATATTTAGAAAACTTTTGAGGCAATGAGTTTTTGTAAAGCAGTGATATATATGAAAGATATGTGAAAGATGTGAACCTCCCTTTCCCTACTTTCTCTCCTTTTTTTGTTCCCCCCTCTTCCAACACCTTATCAGGGAATGGAAAAAAGAAGAAATACAAACACTGTATCACATGTATCATTGTGTCACATTTAGAATTTCCTATGTGTATAGATAAACATTTATTCTGATATATTTTAATATTCAGAGTTTCAGTGAAACCATTTTTGCCCTTTCACTTTCTGTTATGATCTAACCCCTGGTTTGGCTAAAAAGTACTTCATGTTAAATCGAATGTACCGTTGACGGAGTTTAACACTCCATGTGATGGATGGGGGCATTTAGAAGACATCTGTAACAGAACTCTGTTCTTTATTCTAGCTCCCTTGAAACCAACTACTCTTCTTGACTTGACTTTTCTGACAAAAAGAAATTGTTGTTACTGTATTTATGCACATTTGCATCTACCCTAATGATATGTGTGTGTTTTTTTACTGGCACAGTTACTGCCAGGATAAATTGTTTGAAGATTTGGGGACTTATCGACATTAATGTATCTGGAGATGTCGGCACTGTCATCCTGCCGCTCTCACATGCTCATTCAGGATTGTTTACGGTGGATCTTCTGGCTCCCCCTTTTACCTAAGCTGTTATAACTAGGCCGGAGACTGTTTGTACTCTATTTATCATACGCATTGTGCCCACCACACATCAGTCTCAGACATTGTACACTCAGCATGCTGAGATTATTACCTTTTCATGTTAACATGACTTCATGGCCAGCATGGATTAATTCTCATTCTTAATCTTTTTAGATAACATTTGTTAAACCTTTGGGAAATTAGTCACTGGTTTCATTAGTTAATCTGAAACATTCCTTTAATGAGTCCCTGTATTAATCATTTTTTAAACTCTGACTGAAATTGTATTTTGAAACTGTTTTGCTATCCAGTATTGGCCACAGAATAACAGTTTCCCTTTAGAGTCTTAATTTCAATCAAGGTTTCTTTCTCATGCTCTTACCTTTTCACTATTGCCTTTGGCTTTAATTCAATTGAGAGGACAAAGTAGCACGCAAAATATTTCTTAATGTACCTCCTCACATTTTGTTCCCTGTGTACATTTCATATAGCACAGGCCTGATATCTGATGATTTCTGCTGTTTTTTTACTCTCAGAGAGCCTTTTAGACTTAGTTTTAGTTAAGCCTTTACATGTGAAGTTGCGTGTGTTTGTATAAATGTGATAACCTGTTGAGACTATTTTTCTTTATTTTTATACATTTTTTTAATTATGTTGCTTTTTTCATGTTCCTGTAATCCTGAAAAAAACTTTTTTTCATTAAATTGTATAATCTACTTTACTTTTAAAGTGCAATAGATTATAAAAGTATATGATCTTCACTTTTTAGTTTTTGGAGTATAATGGATCACAAAAATTACTCTTATAAGAAAAAATAATTAAATAAACATTTTATTTTCATTCATTTTATTTTTCCTTACGCTGTGGTAAAAACAATGTGCTTTGCAATGCTGCACTTCTACTTTAAAAGAACAGGCATCTAAGCAATTAAGAGAAACTCAGGAATACTTCACAACTAGAACAGATACACATTCTCACAAGTCACTGTCTTTTACATTGATTTTAGAAAAAATTAAACATACCTTCAAAAATCTGATGGATGAAATCCTCTTTTGGTAGGTGAGGGTGCCTGTAATGCTAGCGGACTCCAGGCTGTAGATGTCTAATTTATCATGCATAACTACAACATATTTATCCCCAACCGGTGACCACAGCACTAAGTGAGCATCTGATTAAAAAGAGAGACTGCATATTACAATTAAAGTGATTAAAAAGACAATGTAAAACCAATGCTTTTTATAACACATTTCTTACCTTGCTTTATGTTCTTGACAAAAGCTGACCTTCCATCTATTAGATTCCATGTTCTAAATGAAAAATGACAGCCGATTCATTTCCACAATTCAAAATATATTAAAATAAAAACAGAAAGCAGCAATTATTAAAATCTGTTTGAAAACAGTACAAAAACAATATTTAACGTTTTACCTTTTACCTGAGTCTCATTGTTTTTTTAAATATGTGGTCAATCCAAATTTTATGCCTGCAACAAGTTTCAAAAAAGTTGGGCATTTATCTGTAATACAACTTATATACAGCTATGCAACTGGTATGATGACTGTCATCTTTTGAGCTTAATAAGACATATTTTTACTGGAGATAGTTCTGGACTGCAGGCAGGTCAGGCAATCTCTGATAACGCAGCCATACTGTTGTGAAGTGCAGAGGTGGCTTGTTTTTGTCATGTTGAAATCAGCACGTACATCCCTGAAAAAAGACTTCGTCTAGAAGGCAGCATACGTTGCTCCAAAATGTGCTCAGTGTTAACAGCGATGTTTAATAACGTTTAGCCAACTTTTGCACCAGTGTGGAATGTGGGATGACTGGCCAGATGCACCAACTTCCGCCCTGGACAACACTCTTGGCGCGGTCTCTCTACCTCTATCAGCCAACGAGCACCCTCTGCTGTTGCAGCATCTCTTGCCAACAACACCCAAACCCAAAAGGGCTAGTGCAAACAGCAGTGCTAGCGACAACAGTTAACAACATTAATCCTCAGGAGCCTCAGACAGGTAAAAGTAACATTATCCAGGTGAAGCAGCAGTCCACAGACATGTTTCAGTGAAGCATGTTTTGGCTAACGCTTATGAAGTTGCGCATTTGCAGTGTGAGGAGGAAACAAAGGGGCTTCGCAAAACCACCTACTTTATAGCACAAAACAAACTGGCTAATTTAAAAATTGGGTCATCTGGTTAAATTCATGAAACAGATGGAGTGTCCTTCTTTCAAAAAGCTGAACAGGGACATATGTTATTGAAGCTATCTTAATGAGAAAGGTCTGTCAGAAATGCCTCAAGCTATTGCAAGTACAATTGTGGAGGATGTTGACAAGGCTGTGCTAAAAAGTCACGTATTTTCCTTAGTACTTGATGAATCCACAGACAAAAGCAACATGAAGCAACTCATTATATATGTAAGGTACAAAGATGACAACAAGATTAAAACAAAATTGTTCAGAAACTCTGAAATTGTAGATGAAAAAGCAGACACCATTTTTGAGGATGTGAAGCAACTGCTGAAAAAAAAAATGGTTTAGATTGAAAAAAACGTATAACAATTTGCGTCAATGGTGCTACTGTTATGACCGGATGCAGCCAAAGATTGTTAAAAAACCTCAGAGGAATTTAACTCAAATTTGGTAGGGGTGCATTGCTCAGGTCATTGTCTTGGTCTTGCAGCTAGTGACGCACCGAGATCTGTGCAACAGGTGAAACAATTTCAGCAGGATTTGAGGTAAATTTTTGTATTTCTTAGTAATACTGCTGTCAGAGGTAACAAGCTACATGAACTGCAGAAACAGTTGATGAGCTCCACCTGAAGCTTACCCAGCCACACGCAGTGAGGTGGCTGTCAATTCAGAATGCTGTGTAGATCAGTGAAAACCCTGAGAGATGTCCAACACTCTGGACTCTGGCAAAGTCAAAGGTCTACTGACAGCTGTCAGACAATTTAACTGTGGCCCTCTGTCACATGATGAAAGATGTACTTATGTATGTGGTCCTTTTCTCAAAACATGTTGAAATAGAAGATCTGGACTTCTCCACAGTTCAAACAATGGTTGAAGGCACCAAAGAGGCCCTGAGAGAAATAATAGTCCACCTGGCCCTACAGAAGATGAATCCTTCAGCTCTCTTCATAGTAACAAATTTAAAAGAGGCAAGCTTTTTGACCTCAACAATGAAAAAACAGCTTTTAATGACATGAGGAGCAGGTATGTAGGATCCTTGATAAATGATACCGACAAGAAGATTCCCTGCTGACACAATGGATATTCTGTCATGGTTTCCAGTGACTCAAATGCTTCATTTTCCTCTCAACAGTTTGCAGGGACTGTGTAGCATGAACATACTGGTGTATGCACTGAGATAGAGAAACTCATCAAGATAGCTATGATCATACCAATTGCAAGCATGTCATGTGAACGTGAATTAAGCGCACAAAACAGAAGTAATAGACTGAGTAATACAAACCTTACCAATCTGGTGCTCAATTTAGAGCCTGGCCCTTCCATAGAATAGTTTGATTTTGAGTTGTGGAAAGATATGAAGTAGAGGAGACAAACGAGAGGGAAAGAGTAGAGCATGAAAACAAGAGAAAAGCGAGTGACCAAAAGAAAGACTAAAGATGCTGATACAGCTCAAAAAGATGACCACTAAGAGAGGAGAAGGAGAAAAAGACAACAAACTACAGCTATGCATACAGTTCAGAGAATCCATGATGCCTAGTCTGTAGACCGTGATGCCATGCAAACATGGATTCAGCAAACAAAATAGGATTAAAACTCAGCTCAAAAAGATGACCACTAAGAGAGGAGAAGGAGAAAAAGACAACAAATTACAGCTATGCAGACAGTTCAGAGAATTCATGATGCCTAGTCTGTAGACCGTGATGCCATGCAAACATGGATTCAGCAAACAAAATAGGATTAAAACTAAATTCATAAATTCACCAAGTAACACAAACCTCATCAATCTGATGCTCATTTCAGAGCTTGGCCCACCCCAAGAGCAGTTTGATGTTTTTTGAGACAGAGTACAGGGAAAGATTAGAGCATGGAGACAAAAAAGAAGAGCCACCTAAAGAAAGACTAAGGACACTGATGCAGCTCAAAGAGATGACAGCTAAAAGAGAAGAAGAAAGAGACAACAAATTACAGCAACGTATATAGTTCAGAGAGTCCTGTAAATTGGAGAAGAGCGACAAAATGCAATCTGAGGTAAGACCTATGTTTAAGCTCAGAAGTAGTACCCCCGCCAATCACCAAGGTGTATAAACCCACCCCCCACCATGTGAAATATTTACCCAATGAATTTCAAGGCCTGTATCCAAGCAATCCAAGACATGATTGCATCACCTGTATAAGTTGTTTTTGATCATTTTACAATTTTTTAGGAACGTGTTGCAGGTGTACATTTTAAAATAAGTGAATATTTACAAAAAGTATTAAGTTCATAAAATGATACATTACATAACTTATCTGTGTACTGTTTTTGTTCAAATACACGTCAAAGTAGACTTATAAATCACAGCTTTCTGTTTTTATTTGCATTTGACATACTGTCCCAACTTTTTTGGAATTAGGGGTTCCATTACACATATTGTACTATGCAAACATCCAATGAAAACGATTGTGCATAGTAATTTATCTAGGCAGCAAGTGTTTATTTGTTCAAATAATGTTCAACATTAAAATAAATACAAATAAATAACACATTGTGGTTTAATGGGTGTGTTAGCTTAAACCATTTCCAAACCTCTCCTCAAAGAAGCCCAGTATGTACAGCTACCATCAAACACTACAGCTAGGCAATATGACAATATTTATCATTGTCGTGCTAAAGTATATTGTGACATATTGTGATGTAAACAATATGTCACAATATACTTTTGTGAGCATAGCGTGGATATCAACAGTACACAAATATCAATTACAAACTTTATATTTAATTAAAACAAGAGCATAATTAGTCTTGTTTAATTGGATTTAGTGGAGCACAGTGTGTGAAATGTTTAATACAATTTGATTGAATATGGCACTACATTGGCTGCTCTAACTTACCAGATGTCAGGAAAAAAATATTGTGACACTGTGTATTGTAAAATATGGCCTTAAGTATTGATATTATATTTTGCCGTATTGCCCACCTCTATCAAATTACTTTGGTTATTCAACACTTTGTTAACTTAAAACATGGGTGCTCATGATGGAATTAAAAAACATACAATGCAATGGCTGGTGTACAGAGCCCGGTAGGGGTCACTAATGAGAAAAAACTGCGAGGAGGAAAATCTGTCCCCAGAGTTTAGTAATTCGTACTCTCAGTTTATCAACTGTGCCCACGGATTTGTAAACTGCACTCTCGGTTAGCAAAACCGTACCAACAGATTTGTAACCTGCACTCTCGGTTGGCAAAACTGTACCGACGGATTTGTAAACTGTATTCTCGAATTTAATTTCCGTGACCTCCGAATATTTCTTCAATATCTCAATTTTAGAAACTGTGCCCTCAGGTTAGTTAGCTAACTGTGTAAAGCATACGCTTCCTCCCACAGCTACAGTACAGGCCACATTTATGACTATTTTGAGAAAATGTAAAACTGGATGATACAACTGTGTCGAGCTTTCGTGATGAAAAGATACACATAAGCAAGTAACGTTAACGTGAAATTAAGCTGACATTACCAGAAAGCAGGTTATGTAATTGTGCTGTACTTTCACGTACACCGTTATCAAAGGCTTTAACATTTCATGAAATTACAGTTTAACCTTACTGCCTAATTGGAATGTTTTGTAGAAATGCATTATGTAAATGCACTTGTTTAAAACGAGGCAAAAATAATCTGGTTTTTGCCTACATTATCCTACCACGCGGCCAGAATCGACTGAATGGAGTTTCAGCCCGGAGAGCACACTGCATGTTAATAACAGGAATAACGTCAAACCCTGACTATGCAAGAATTACTGACTATTTATAGCCCAGTGAACAATCAACGTGGAAATCACGTGCACGAGCGTCATTTCAGTACAGTACAATTTACAAATCCGTCGGTACAGTTTTGCTAACCATGACTACAGCTTACAAATCCGTCGGTAGTTTTGCTAACCGAGAGTAGTTTACAAATCCATCGGCACAGTTTTGCTAATCGAGAGTACAGTTTACACATCCGTCGGTGCAGTTTTGCTAGCCGAGAGTACAGATTACAAATCCGTGGGCACAGTTTATGAACTGTGAGTACGGATTACTAAACTGCAGTGACAGATTTTCCTACTCACAATTTTTTTTCTCATTAGTGACGCTTACCTAGCTCCGTACAGGAGTGCCCCGAGAATTCAGGAAATAAATGTGCTCCTCTACATGTATAATTCTAATCAAGATACCAATAACTTACTATAAAAAAACTAAGGGCACCTACCACTTTGTACTGTACTGTATGTGAAGGAATTGATAAGTTCACTATAGACATTAAAAATACCTCAATTTCTTGTCCGTTCCAACAGAGAGTGCAAGTTTCCCAGATGGATGCACTGACAGAGAAGTGATATGGCCCCTATTACACACAAAAAGAATCTCAGCCAATAAAACAGAAAAAGAGAAACATCAGTAACACAGAGTGTACTGACTTAAAGACTTACATGTGTGCTTTGATTGATTTTAAACAGTCCCATGTCTTTGTACTCCATACACACAGGAGACCATCTTCCCCACCACTGAGTAAATGGGAGGTGCCACAGAACTCCAGACATGAGACAGTACCTGCACAAACAGGGTGGGTAGACCAAACTCATTTTTAGTTAAGTAAATAATGAATATGCTTTGATTATGGATTGTGGAACAAATTTTTGGCCAAGCATCAGGGACCTGATCAGACACACACATTTTCTAAGCCGCTTATCCTTCTGGGTCACATGGTGCCTATCCCAGCGGTCACTGGACGGAAGGCAGGAAACAACCTGGACACTCACACCTACAGCCAATTTAGAGTGTCCAATTACCCTGACTGCATGTCTTTGGACTGTGGTAAGAAACTGGAGCCACACAGACACAGGGAGAACACGCCAACTCCACACAGAAAGGTCACCTGGCCGGGAATCAAACCCAGTTAAAGGAGTAATGACAACAGGAGGATAACTGGCACATATTAAAACTAGTAATGCACTGATAATCTGTTTAATAATGTGGTCATATATTTGTATACGTGATCATGCTTGGGTACAAATATAATTGATAACAACCCATACAATATAGTCCAGAGCTGATGTGCACAACATAAGAAAATGAAAAAACAAATATCAAAAAACAAAAACAAGTTTAATAATGATAGCAGCAGCAACACACTACCAAAAAACAAAAAAGAGGCTAAAAATGTAAATTAATAACTGAAGATCAGGTGTGCAAATCAGAAAAAACAAAGTTGTGCATGAGCTCTAGAGAACTACCTGGAGCCACTACTCTAGGGAATGGTGTGCCAACCAAAGTAGCCTGGCAAATATATATTTGAACAAGGATGTCACATAGTGAACATTGAAATTATTTCTAACCCATGCTATATATACAGTTACATAAAGTGTAGAAGACACTGACCCACGCCTTCATAACATCATAAACTAGATTATTTTAATTCTCTTTTTATTGGTATCCCGGCAAAAATCTTGCAACACCTTCACATTTGCCCGGTTCTCTATCAGTTGCACTGGTTACGCATTTCTTTACACACCGAGTTTAAGGTTCTTCTTTTGATGTTCAAGTCCCTAAATGATCTAGCACCCCCTTCTCCCCTATACTCCTGCTTCTGCTCTGAGGTCCTCTGGTGCGGGCCTCTTGGTGGTCCCTGCCTTTAAACCAGGTGTGTCCAATCTTATCCGCAAAGGGCTGGTGTGGCGACAGATTTTCACTCCAACAAAGCAGAAGGTCACCTGATGAAATGTTTGCAGAATAAGACTAACTGATTAAACAACTAGAATCAGGTGTGCTCCAGCTTGTTTGGAGTGAAATCCTGTAGCCACACCGGCCCTTTGCGGCTAAGATTGGACACTCTTGCTTTAAACGCTCAACTTTTGGGGGGCAGCTCTTTTAGTGTTATGGCCCCTAAACTATAGACCTCTCTTCCTTTATCTCTCCACCACCACTCCACCCTGTCCTCTTTCAAAGTCCCCCTCAAAACTTTCCCTTTTTTCTCAACTTCCATTTTTCCTCTCGCTCCCTCTTAATTTTTTTTTCAGCGATTATGTAAAGTCCTTGAGAAGAGTCTAGCTGCAGACATGCACTCTCAGCCTGACATGCACTGCCAGCCTATTGATGACGTCAGTGCACGCTCTGCCACGATAGTGTTTCTGTCGGTTTTGTGAGGAAAAATAGCGAACCACGTACTGCTGGGCAAGAGGAGTTATACTGAATGTATATTAACGTTGTCTTACTGATAATAAAGTAATTAAATATGAAAACTTTCCAAATTAAATCTACCACGACGATAAGACATGAATGTCGGATTAATTCGCAGAAAAAAACAAAAAGGTTACTGCTGAAACTCATGAAAGCCATGCTGAAGACGATTAGTTATTAAAAACTGTAATATTGATTAAAATAGAACTTATTAAGGATTATGTGTGGGGGAAAAACTTGATTCTTAGATGCATCGCAATGCGGACGTGAACAATTCTGAATCGATTCATAAGTGTCAAAAATCGATTTTCTAAATATTTAATTTATAACGTAATGTTGATGGAACATAAAAGGCGGAACTTTTCTTCAAAAGTAGATCAGGTTCTTGTAAAATGTCTCTCAACGTTCGACTGATTTACGAAGCTGAAGTCGCTTCTCAGTCTCCAGCTTGTCAGTCTCCAGCTTGTCAGTCTCCAGCTTGTCAGTCTCCAGCTTCTCAGTCACCAGCTTCTCAGTCTCCAGCTTCTCAGTCTCCAGCTTCTCAGTCTCCAGCTTCTCGTTCGAATTTTCCTGTTCCACCACTTCTGCCCGAGGTGCCAAATGTAACTGCTGCACCATTTAAGGTGGACCGGGAAAATTCGAAAGAGAAGCTGACTTCATCTTCGCAACTTTTTAGTGTTTGAAAGTCTCTCGTTGCAGATTTAACGTACCAGGAAACCAACTACGTTGTTTATAAATGCGAATAAGTCCATTCCTCTCCAAATGTTCGTCTTAAATCTCTGTCTTTTTGTTCGCAACTAGCGAGGCGAGATTGCGTTGCTATGTGGCTTGCAGTCTGCACGCCAGTTCTCAGTCGTTGAGAACCAGGGTTTTCGCGCTATGTTGCACACTTTGGAGCCGAGATTCAGCGTCCAGTCTCGAAGATATTTTACTGACACAGCGACCCCGTAATCGAATCGATTCATGAGATGCCTAAAGATTCCCAGCCCTATTAAGGATTCTAGGATTGTACAGTCAATGTAGTACAGATTACTTTTGCTGTCTCATCAATGCTGTCACAACCTCCTAGAAGGTTGTCAGACAACATTGTCATAACTTTCTGAGGAATTACATTTCAACATTGTGACAATGTAGAGAGCACCAAGCAGACAGCGTTGTGTGCACCAAAACAGTACATTGTCACATCGTAACTGCGTTTGCAGGCCCGTTAGGAATAAAACCTGATGGTTTTGCTTCCTAACAGGAATTGGCTTGATGGTTGCCATTAAAGGCCATTAGGAAACAATCAAATGTATCTGGAATCAATCCCAAAACATCCTTTACACTGTGATATCAACCCATCTGTGATATCAACCCATCACGAAAACACAGAATACCATTAGCAACTACTGAAAACCACCAGGAACCAACAGACACTTTTAATGGGTTCTATGATTTTTCTTCAACAGGGAGGTACATTAAATCTCTCTCTCTAACCGTGTTATGGACAAAAAACGGATTAAGTTATGATATTGCTAAGCAGCAGCAGCCAAAAGTTACTGTGCCGTTGGGCTTCGGCCATTGTGGCATTGTGTGCATGTGACGTCACTGGGGCTGAGAGCACATGTCTGCAGCCAGACTCTGTTGAAGTCCTTATCGTAAACTGGCCTTGCGAAAAGTGCTACAGAAATTAAAACATACATATTATGTGACTTAAAGATCAAACACTGATATGTCAAAAAAGGAGAAACATTCCATGGGGTTTACTTCACATGACTGTAACATATGAGCTAATGACCTTTTTAACAACCTTTGAATTCACTGAGTTTATGTCCACAATATTAAGAATCAAGATTTTATTTCCTTACCATTGTGGTGTAACAAGGCTCCATGTTCAGTTCTTGTGTTCATGTCATAGAGCTGAACAGTTTCATCTTTGCTGCCCGTGGCAATGAACTGCTCACTGGCTGCTACTGCAGACAGGGATGCTGTATGAGCATGGTGTGTGAAGACTGGCTCTATTCTCCATTCCTGTAAGACACAATGATACATTTGAAAACTAATACATTTTCAACACACACACTTGTATTCAGGTTAGCACAATAATTTATTGTGCACATCACTAGTAATAAAAACCAAAGTGACCTTGAAAGAAAAAATGGTTTTTAATGACTAGGTCTTTTTGCAGTGATGTATTGGTGCTTGGATATATGGGTATACTGTGTTTTGTAAGGGATTTCCACATCTACAATTAAAGCATTTAAAGCTGGTCTAAAAGTTTAGTAATTTATGTAAATATAGTTAAATATATTACAGCCAACATAACTAAGAAAAAATATTGTACACAGTCATTTTCACAGTGCATTTATTCATGCATCAAGAGGGAAAGTGCAATAATCATTAAAGAATTAAGAGACAATATAAATCACACAGTGAAGCTTAATACTAATTTGTTAAACAAGACTGATCATGATCAAATCGTGTATTAACGTGTATTTACACGTTAATATTTTAAGTGATTGCATTGATGTAAAAATGCATATATAAAACTAATTGTCAATATTAATTAACAAATTATTAGTTCCTATTTATAAGAGCATACTATTATAACAGTAATGTAATCAAATCTTCTAACTGATTCAGGTTAGAATTTAAGATGAACCCTCATGTTGAACACAGCCCCCGACCTTCCCCTAACACACACACACACACACACACACACACACACACTTTATATTAAAGACATCGCACTGACAAAATCGCACTTTAAAAAGTATTCTCAGAAAACGAAAGGTAGCTTACCTCTTCACTGGGGCACACTCGATAACCAAAAACTATCTGCTCGTAACTTCCAGCAACCACTTCCACTTGATCTCCCATGTTATAAAACAATTTAGCTATTTATTTTAGCACTGGACACAAAAAAACGTTTACAAAGTATCTATATGGCTTTGCCAACCAGGAAAAGAGCAAATCTAAACCGCAAGTCTGACAAATTTGCAGAACAACAATCTGGAAACAGAAGTGTACATACCATGTGCGTGATTTCTAACCAAGGAAGCGTTAGTCGCGTTTAACTTCCGGGTCATGTTTAAAGTATGCATATCAAATTAAAAGACAATCGTTTAGTCCACAAAAATAATTTAGAAAAAATTTGTAATAGCATAAAAATAAAATACTTAAATAATAAGAAAAATACTTGAGCGCTATGTTTGCTGACAATCTTTTACTTACAACAATACATTATTTTTTTGTTCTTGGTTTGGAACACATTGCACCAAGGATTTGAGCTAGTGTCCATTTTCCGGTTGTCCAGATGTTAAGATGTCCAGTCAAGTTCTAGCTCTGTCATTGTGCCTCTCTCTATCTCACTCCAGTGGTGCCAATATGGTAGTGTGTGGATTGAGGCATAATCTATGTAGGCACAGCCAAAGTTAGGCTACATTATGGCAAGGTAAATGAACCCCCTGTTTCTCAAAAGCAATTAAATATGCATCTCCATCTGTTTTAAGCATCAGTTAGCCTACAGAAAACAGTGAATAAACAACAGGTTGTGTTACACAATGCTAGAACAAATAGTAGACTAGAACATTTGTATAATGTTCATTATAGAAAATACAAAGAAATGGTAAAAAACAAACAAGCCAAAGACAGTTATCAAACTGTTTAAAAAAATGACAGAAAAACGGAGGACATAATAAAACACATATTAGGTGCTTGGTTTTTTTTCGTCTGTGGTATTTACAAAGATACAGCCAAGCTCTCTCCCACTGGTTAATCCTTCAAGAGCTGGAATGAAGGCTTCCCAACATACTGACCACTAGAATCGTGTCATCATTTTGTAGTCTATTGCTACATGTAAGCTAAGGCTACTGCGCACTGAATTGACGTCATTAGACACAAGGCAGCCTCCTTAAAAAACTGTGCCAACCGACTGATACTAACTGAAGCATGATCTTTCTGTTCTGTTCATAACTTGATTTGAAAAGCTTGCAAGCATACCTTCACTTAGGATAATTCAGTACAGACTCAACATAACCTTACTGCTTACACCCTTAGGTTATCAGAATATTCTCATTATTATTTTGATGCCGGTAATTTTCTGAAGACATTTTCTCTGAACATCGCCAGCTTCTTGTTCGAATTTAACCTTAAATGGTGCAGCAGTTACATTCTGGCACCTGAGGTGTTATAATAACTGGTGTGCCATTTAAGGTGGAAGGGGAAAATTCAAACAAACAGCTGGTGAAAAAAGTTAAATTCAGCCTTGTAGTTTTAAAGCTGGCAGCATTTTTTGACATGGAGTTTTAGACTCTCAAAATATCCTAGGTTTTATTAAAGGGCATACCTCTAAAAATGTGCTAAGGTATCACATTTCTATAAGATAGCACAAATCGCCAGAACGCCACCATAGCCCGACTTACTTTCGTGTAGCTAAGTGACATCACATTGGTGCACAGTAACGTTACATTATCAGTAATGTTAACAGGACAAAACCTATCGGGTTCTGAACATATTTATGTACCAAAGGGTGTGATAAAGGCGATCTTTAGAAAATCTCATTCATTGTGGCCACAAAGAAATCTAGCTGAGACTCAGTGTTCCTACTACAGGCATAACGTCCCTACAGGCTTGTTCAACCATCGATGCATGGGAGGCGTGGCCGTGTGGAGCGACGAGCGGGAAGCACCAACTTTTCTTGTACATAAGTTGTTGTTGAGCAGTTAAGAGAGCTGCAGCAATGTTGTGTGTGCTGTTTTGTGTTGGGGTGTGGGGTAGAAGGTGGGTCTGGAGTCTCTACCATTAGTGGACTGTGTAGGAGTAGCACTGACCTGCCAGCTACCCGCTGCATTGTCAGCTATTGTGTTAATAACGGGGCACCTTTCTGAAATGGTATGTGCAGAGGTGAGCCTAGCCATCTTCTACCAAGTACTGCAAAACAGCAGAGGGCGCCCGCAAGTCCTCAGTGAATGGGAGAAATGGAGCTCAACGGATAAAAAGTTTAAATAGTTTCTAGTCACTTGCCCAGAACTTTACTTTAATTTTAGACAGTAGAACACTGTATTTTACTAAAAACATAAAGAAAACTTAACTATATATGCCCTTCTCTCTACGGCTAATGACTGCTAATTGGTTGGTGAGCGGAGCAGCTTATTGGCTGTTCACGCTCACAGACGTCATGGATGTACATGAGGCGCCGTTTAAAACTCCTATAACTTGAGTTTAAAAGCTCTTAAGAAATATTATAGCATTGTTAAAATGTTTTCTGCTATTAAATGTTCAGGAAATTAATGTATTCTTTTACATTAAACATGTTACCGTTAAATTTAATGGCATCCTATTGTTGTGAAAATGTACAGTTTAATACCCTTTTTACAAAAACAGGATATAACTGTAATTTAGTACATTTACAGTATAATACTGCAAGAGGTTAACACTTCATTACCTTTTTTGATGGGGGTTCACTAACTTTCCTGACAGGTACAGCTACAGATTTTTTCTGTACTGATAAAAACCATTGTGTTTTTACTGCTTGTTAATCTTGCCAGAAACGTAACATGCATGAAAGGGTTAATTATTTCACTGAACAGCTGACATAGCAATTTAAATTGTGACTTTAAAAATGAGACAAAAGCATATCTTATAAAAAAGTATATCTTGTAAAATGTGTTGCTTTATTGTAAGTAAAGTCTAGATGATTCCACTTGCAAACTCTTTGCACATTTTTTCACATCAGAAAATGCCATTTCAACAAAGGAAAGCATTTAGGCATTAAAATTAACAGCAAATCAACTTAGAAATTACCCATTTAAAAATATATATTGTTAAAGCTTGTTCTCTTTGTATGTCATGTCAGCATAAACATGAATTTTTACAATAATCTTTGTACAACAGTCTACAGCTGTAAAATCCTGTCTTTTCCTGCTTCATCTGTTCTTGTTTCCATCTGTGTCTGCATTTATCTTCCCATCTGCATTTTGTTCCATGTGCTTTTGTTGTTTTGCTCATTTCACTTTTCTTTTGTTTCTGGTTCTTTCTAGTGATGGCAAACCAAAGCTTTCCTCCTAACTAAATCATAAAAAAAAGGTTCATTACTCAACGCTTCATGACACAGTGCACATTAGTGGCATCTGGTGGCCAAAACCACAAAGTGCTTTGGGTATCTGGTGTACAAGTGATTTTTTTTCACAGATTTTAAAACTAAAAACACATTTGTTGTTTCAATAAAACAACTGCTAAAACTAAATTGTTTGTTGTGCATGTCTTCAAAATCTTATTGCTGTGTTATGTACAAATATCCAGGGTTGAGCAGAATGCTTAGAAAAAGTAGACTGAATAATGGAATGTATTCTATTACAATGCATTAAACAGTAATGTATTCAGAATAAATTTAGAAAACAGGACACACATAGTAAACAGAGCACATCTTGATAAGGCACATTGGTAAAACTATTCCTTTGTAACTATTATTACATTCACACTGTTGCTGGTAGGCATTTATCATTTATTGTTATGTAAATATTCTGTTAATATCTCTACAATTTTAAAGTTCTAAAATTTATTGACAAACTCCACAGCAGGGCTTTTGATAATCTATTTATATTTATCACAGCCCAAAGTCCATTGCTTATTCATCCATTAGCAAGGCTCATGTGGGCTTTGTGTATGATGTATTTAACATGTGACAGAATTTTGTGCTCATGGATGTGAAAGTAGTGCTTGTGGACAGGGCAGTAAAAGTGCTTTTGCAGTGGGCAGGGATTATTTAATGGTGGGTGGTCGTGAATATGGACATGAACATATATTATTCAGTTTTTGCTCAGTAATAAGATTTTTTTTTCACTGTGCTGGGGCTAAGTTGGTTTAGCCTTTGAAAGTACCCGCTCACATGGGACAAAATATTATACCTTATAAAAGTACTCCCTTTTTGTGACACATGCCTCGAAGCTTCAGGTTCAAGGGTGACATCACTAGTTCTTTCTTTGCTACTTTCTCCATGGACAACAATGAAACTGCCAGCTCACACACGCATCCTGACTTTTCGTCTCCCATCACCTTATGACAACTATGAATATTTTTACTTTTTAAGCATCTCCAGCTGGCTTTGTCAAGTCAACACAAAGTTTGACCACAAATTTCCCTTTTCTAGTTTTACTTATTAAAAGTAGACCTTTTACTAGTAGACTGCCATTGGAGAGCACTTCAGTAAGTGATGTCACATCATGGTGGCACTAAACTCAGCACTTGGCTTCCTTCACTGATTGAGAAATGGCAGGCTAAACACCTAGATACAACTGGAAGACCGGAAGACAAGCCGACTGGAAGAGACGTTTGCTGTTTCTCCTTCAATAGATAAGAACCAAGTGCAAGGCCCAGTGCAACCATATGAAATCACACTGCAACTATTGCAGGCATTTTGAATAAATGTTCTAGGTCATTTGATGTATACTATATATATATGGTTCCATGTGAAATGGTGTGAATGCCTAACCTTTGAATGAATTTCAGTGTGCATGCCGCTTCTCTTTGATACTGAAGATTGAAGTTGTAGAAAACACAGAAGCAGAAGCAAGCACTGAACAGATTACTTATTTTCCCTTCTTCAGAGTTAGTTATATGAAATAGTCTAATATCAACCATAGGCTAGCATGCTGCAAATGCTTTCAGACACAAAACTAGCTAAACCACATTAGTGTGGTTAACACATTTTCTCTAACAATATTGTGATTTCATGACCACAGACCACAGAATTCAGTTGTTAGCTAATTTAGTTAGATAGTTATCAAATGCTCCTTCTCTCTCTGAACTCTCCTCTTAAGGAAAAATGCACTGCTATGATGGTCTTCAGTCTTGCCAGCATTCGACGGCTAGTTGCTGAAGGTGCTAAAAACGCAGTCTCCTACAAAATGATAATCCAGACAGCTGGAAACGTTACAGATGAGTTTTGTATTTCCTCACAAGCAAAATGAAATGCCATGCTATAAATGTAAAATGTAAAGGTGGATGTAAATCACAAGCAATTGTCACAAGCTACTGCTAAGCT